GCGGTCTTGGCGGCCTCTTGAGACGCCCCTGAGCGTCGGGAGCGCTTGCGAGCTTTAACTTGGAGATCATTTGGGGCCTCTTGGACAGACCGCGCGGCGTTTCGTGGCCCTCTAAGACCGTCTTGGGGGCCTATTGGGGCTCTCTCTCTGCAATTTGAAGGCTTTCTCGAGCCCGAAAGGGTGATGCGAGAGGACGCCCTGGCGCGCCCCGGGGCCTTGCCTTGCGCCCCGGCCGATTTGGCTAGCTTGGGTCCGGGCCCTTGACGGGACCTTCCAAAACTCAAGGGGTCCAACATGGGACCAGAGGACACTCCAACTCGTGCCTCAAGGGCGCGTCGGCGGATATGCGTGTATATCTCTCTATATATAGAGAGAGGGAGATAGAGAGGTGCATACACATAGAGATAGAAAAACAGAGAGAGAGAGAGAGAAGGAGACAGACAGACAGACTAACAGACAGACATACACACAGACAGACAAACAGACAGTTAGACAGGCAGTAATAAGCATATAACACACGTCGCAGGACATAGAGCCGGTATGACATATGGCCGAAGTCCGAATGACAAGCGAATCGATATGTCTTCTGCGCAGGGCCACACATGTACAAGTGGTATAATGGGCAGGATAGCATGGTGCGTTTGACGTTGACAGTCGCCATAATTCATGGGCTCAGGAGCGCAGGCTGAGGAACATGATTTCACTCCGCCCATGGAAACGGAGCCGCCTTTCGCCCCGCGGTTCCAAATAAGATGGAAGATCGCTTTACACCGCTCAAGGGAGCGCTGCGGGCGACAGAGCATAATTTCGGACTGGCACATCAGCGAGCGGACGCAGCTGAGCAACGCATCGGAGCGACGAAACAACAAGCAGCCGCTGCCGGTCAGCGACCAGATTCAGATCCAGCACACAGCAAGGTAGACGCCAGATTGCTTGGCAAGCCGTCGAGCCTCTCTGAAGATGAAGCTAGTTGGAAAAGCTGGTCTTGCTCGATGATAGCACTCGCAGCGGCCAGCAATCTCGAGCCACGAGAGATGATGGAGCAGGCAGCTGGCAAGGCCCAGCCGATTCTCGATGTCAACCCAGAGGGCGGCAAGCAGACATGGACTCAGCAGCTGTGCTGCATGCCCGGCCTCAGCACGACTGGGGCAGCTCAGAGACGCTTGCAGAACGTAGTCGGGGGAGAAGTTTGCTGAAGCGTGGAGAGCCTTCAACGTAGTCCACGAGTCCAACTTCGCCACCCGTTACGTCGGATTGCTGACCCAGGTTCTGCAGCTCGGCTGTTGTGATCTCTGCGCAATCCCAGACAATACAGCGCATATCAAGCACCTAATCAGGGGGTGCGAAGACCAGAGCACGGAGATGGTCGGCGACGACGTAACGCAGGCAGTCTTGCAGAAAAAAAGGGCGGCACGGACAACACCGTCCGATATCACCTTGCCCTGCATGCCGCCTGTATTGACAGCTTCGACCGAATTTTAGACGAGGTCGCGACGGTCGCGAGGACGAGACGCAGAGCGTCGTCGAGCGGAGATGCAGCGCCATCGGGTTCAACGCGCTGCGCGCGAAGTAGCAATAAGGCCCAGGTCCTAAGGACAAAGGCCCGAAGGTCAAGGACGGCAGTAAGGGTCCAAAAGGCAAGGTCGGCGGCAAACAAAAGGGCAATGATGGCGGCGAGCACGACGAGACGAATGCGAATGCAGAAAAGAAGTGCCATTACCGCGATAATACACGCCACGACATGAGCGAGCGTCGGAAGAAGATTGGAGATAACGAGGTCAAGCGCGGGCGATCATACCAGCGAGACTTCGACTCAGGCGGGCGACAGCTGCCGCCCCCACCTCTAGGTGCACAGATGCCGCCCCCACCTGCCGCGGTTTTCAGCAGCACCAGCTTTCCCAGGCACCTCTGGGCACAGCGGATTCCCCGGGGTCGACGGCGCCAGTGGCAATTCGATCGCTGACGTCGCCACGGTTCTTTGGCAGCGATGTCTTCCGCGGCCCGCCCAAGATCTACGCCCCGCCCTCGCGGGGCGCCGTCAAGGAGGGCAAACCCGAGGAAGAGGACATGGTCATGGCGGGTTCGGGCCGCAGACCAACGCCAAGGATTCCGACCTCATCAGACTCGCGACTACCTTGGACACAAAGGCGGCGCAAGGTGAGTAGTGGCCCCATTGCGGCAGCATGGTCGTGCCCTTACTCCACGAGCACGGTGGCGAGATCGGCATCGCGTGCCAGGTGGCGAATGTCGGTGGCCCTGCCGCATCGGCGTCGGCCACGAACGGCGCGGGGACCGCGGCGGCGTTTTCCCCGCATGGCGCCTGGATTTCGGAGGCGAAAAAGCAGAGGCCAGATGGCAGCACCAACCCCATTCGGAAGCAAAGGGCGTTCTGGCCGGCACTGCCCAGGGCGCGCGTGGATGCGGACGTCGCCCGACGCGGCGATGCTCGTCTGATGCCGCTGCGCCAGGTGCTGAATGGGGTTCGAGGATGATGCGATCCGCGTTAGCATGGATGCGGATTTGCGTCGGTGTCGGGCTGCTGTCAATAGCAGCACCGCAGCCGGCTGATGGGCTTCCAGGGGGCGACGCTGCCCAGGGCGTGGAGCTCCCATTTTGATCTAGACCGCGACCCGAGGGCGCCCGCGAAAGAGGCGGTCGCGAACCACAACTTGACGCACGTCGCCCATCGCTTGCGGCGCAGGCGCTGCGTCGGGCGCCGAGCGGAGGGCGACCCGCGCATGGCTGCGCGCGAAGTAGGGGCCCCGAAGGTCATTCTCGACTGGGTCGTCCTTCACGAGCGACGACGACGCAGGGTAAAAGCTGCCCAGCCTGATCGTCGGCGACCTCGCAGGGGAGACATGGCCTCAAGGCGGACCTGGTCGACGAGAACATTAAGAAGTTGGTTTTCTGAGGGGTCCAGATGCGAGGGGGCGGGCGTCTGCCGTGCCCGCGCTCGCGGACTGTCGGCGGTGCGCCCATCCGCGCTTTGAGTGTGACGTGAGGAAATCCAGCCCTCAAGCTGGCCTCGATGAGATCGCGCAATGTGGATTTCATTCAGGTCCGGATACGAGCTGTCCGCGGCAGCGGCAGCTGCTCCGTTGCGCCTGGTTTCGGCCCAGGCGGCTTCAGCCCAGCGGCTTCAGGACCAAGGACCGGGGGGATGCCCGAGGAGCGCCAATTATCCCTGGAGGTCTTGGCTGGGGCCCGAGGTTTATCCCCAATCCCTGTGGCGAAGGCTCGAGGAGGTGTGTTAGGGCCCACATGTACAGGTAATGTAAGGAGCAGGACACCATGAGGAGTCTGACAGCGAGAGTCACCAGAATTGCTGTGGCTCAGGAAAGCAGTCAGAAGAACAGGAGGAGGAACAGGGTTTCATTCCACCCGCATTTGGACATGTAGAAAGGTGCAGTTGCACATACCATGTGCAGTAAGGCGTGCAGAGCGCATTTGACAGCATGCTGAATTTTCAAGCGGAGTATGTACAGATCGTCCGAGTGCACAGCTCTCCGTTGCTAGGCATTGCCAACCCCATCCACAGGACCAACCACCGCACATCCATCAACCACCACACTGAAGCCCTGACGGCTTAGATCAAACACGCGGTTGAGGCTCAAGTGGTTGTATCCCGCGAAGTACACTCCAAGGGGGCAGACCCCCCCACCGACAGTCGCACCCATCTCCTCCCGCCACCTGGTCACCCGAAGGGTGGTCTACGAGGTCTGCATCACCGTGACGAAAGTTTCTTTCAATCTGCCTTCGCCAATCGCGCATCAGCGCGGAGTAGTTCGGAGTATAAGTGCTCCAAATAATTCGCGCGCGGGCGCATCCCGCTCGATACTCCCGCTCGGTAACTCATGGGGTTTGGAGCGGAGTAGCTTTTAATCCGGTTTGGGGGTCGCAGATGTTGCAGCTTTAGACGGATCGGAAACTACTCCGCCGAAAGACACAGTCATCCTGTCATGTTGGGAATATTTCGAGGGATAGGAGATATTATTATCATGGCAGATTGAAGAAGCTGTTGTCACGGCTGTGTATTCGTTTGCGAGCAGTCTTTTTTGTTATTCGGGACCGCCCTAGCTTTCGAGGCTGGACCCGCGTGTGCCGCTCGCGTTTTCGAGCATGCTGGGCCTCTGCCGTGCCCAAGGCCCACGCGATCTGACGATCAGGAAGGATGAGCGTTTTGGGCGAGAAGACGAGGAGGACCAGCTGAGCATCTCACCGGGGCTCAGGGTGCATCCGGGACAGCTCCTTTGTGCAGGAGAGGCGCTGAGGCGGAGTAGAGCCCACTGCAGGGTGCTGAGGGCCGCAGCAGCACCCAGAGCGGAGCCCTGGGAAAAAGCAGCACCCAGCGGCAGCGTGCTCGCTCCCAGCGCGGAGCAGGAGAGAGCACCGTCCAGCGGAGAGCACCAGGAGGGGCAGAGGGAGCGCGCACCCTGCAGGGCAGGGTGTGGGTGGGTGGCAGACCGCCCGAGAGCCGGCAGGGGAAACAGCAGGTGCAGCTGCACACGGGGCGGCGAGGGCGGTGGGGGACGGGGGAACGAGGAACAGGAGGAGGAGGAGGAGGAGGAGGAGGAGGAGGAGGAGGAGGAGGAGGAGGAGGAGGACGAGGACGAGGACGAGGACGAGGACGAGGAGGACGAGGACGAGGAGGACGAGGAGGACGAGGAGGACGAGGAGGACGAGGAGGACGAGGAGGAGGAGGAGGAGGAGGAGGAGGAGGAGGAGGAGGACGACCGCTGCGCTGCATAGCTGAGGCCCGCTGAGGGTGTCAGACAGAAGGGTGGCCCTTTTCTCTCTTTGGCCGGGGCGCCCCCATTGCACATCTTGCTCCGTGATTCCAGCTATCGGGGTCCAAGCGACCTGAGCATTGGCCGTCGCATGGCGTCCCAGGTTCGGCAAGGCGAAGGAAGAGCAGGAAGGAGGAGGAGGAGGAGGAGGAGGAGGAGGAGGAGGAGGAGGAGGAGGAGGAGGTGCGGGAGGGTGTCGGGCGTGCCGCACAGGTGGCGACGAGGGGGCCGGACAGGGTCATCCGGAACCGCTTCAAGATGCGGCAGTTGCGCGAGGTTCGTAAGTCGGAGATGTGGTCCGAGGACCGAGAGCGGGAGGGAGAGGAGGGCCCAGCCTCGCGGCGTGGGGCCACCCTGAGCGGGCCACCTTCGCGCTCGCCACCAGCGCCAAAGGTGACCCGCTGCCCGCGCCTCTGCAGGCACGTCAAGTGTCGGCGGCGAGCGAGGAGGGGAAGCGAGGAGGGAAAGGCTTTCTCCGGAGGCGGCGGGACCTCTGAGAAGCCCTCGCGCCTTCTGAGAAGTGTCGTCTGCCTTCGGAGGAGGCTTCGACCACTTCTCGGGAGGCCAGGGGACTTCCGAGCCTTCTGGGCAGGCCTTCTCCTGCTCACCTCCCCCCCCTTCGCTCGCCGCCGACAGTTCGATCTCAGCCTGCCAGCACGTGCCCCCCGGAAGTCTCGGATCCGCCCCGCGGCGCCAGGGGCCCACTACTACCCGGGCGCTGCCGGAGGTGTCCCTGGCGCCTGCGGCGTCCCCGGGGAGGCCCCCGCACGGCTTCCGGAGCACCCCTCGCGCGGCCCAGCCGGGCCCCAGAAGCTCCGGTGGCCACAGGGGCACCTCCCTGGCCCCCCCCCGAGAACCTATATAGAGATCCGACGCTCCGAAAAAAAAAAACGGGCAGGCGGCTTTTGGCCGTTTTCGGCCTCTGGGGGCCCTCGCCGGGCCTCCCGCGGGAGTGTTAATACAACGACCCCGGACGTAGCACCGGCCCTGGGGAAGTGGTCCGGACCATTGGGGCCCACGCGCCGAGAAGATTGGAGCGGCAGCCGGGCGTCTGGGAACCGCGAGAGGCTCCTCGCCGTGGCAGTTCCCTCCGCGCCGGCCATATAGGGCGCGGTCGGCGCAGTCGCCTCTTGCACTCGCTGCCGCCGGTGGACACCTGTTGGGGTCGGGCCGAACGAGAGGGGGGGATAGGGAAGGGGAGGGGTGACGAAATCTGCTGCATGCAGCTGGTTTCGGCCCCGCCGCCGGGCCCATTCCTCGATACATGGGCGCCTCCCGGCGCCGGGGAAATCAGCTACGTGAGCTGATTCTCAAACCCCCCCTTTGCTATCCCTCCCTTTCGCCCGGCCCGATGGGGGGAGGGAAGGGGAGGGGAGGGACGAGGGTGAGGTCAGAACATATACCTTACCAGTGACGGGCTGTTTTTCAATCCTAGGAGTTTGGGAGGGTCGGGGACGACGTCGGGGTGGTGTGGTGTATACTTCTGCTCCCCGTTTTCTCGGGGAAACATCGACAATGTATACACCAGGATCCCGTATACACCAGGATCCGCATTCCTGTGCGAGTTTCAGTGCAGGGCTGGAAGAAGCGTCGGTGTATAGAGTTCGGATCCCCAAGATGAGGGCAAGCTGAGACAACGGTCGTTGGTCTTGAGGGGGGGAGCCTCGTCGCCACACGGCTGGACGCAGCTCGGAAAGCTGATGCCTTTGACCCGGGGAGGGGTCCAGGGAAAGATTTTCAGTTGTCGTTGTCGCACTTCGCATTGCTCCGAAACGGAGGACTACTACGTGTGGGAGGCGTTCTGCACGGACGAGGACCTCCTCGCTATGCGCGCCAAGTTCTCCACAGAGTTCTTCCAGCGGTTCGCCATGGCATACCGCAATTACGAGGAGGGGGGATGGGCTTGCCAAGGGCTTCCTCCGACACCGAGCGGGCTTCGAGATCGGACGGCGCGGGAGTATGCTCCGACGAGAAGTAAAACGGGGCGGGAGGCTTGGGAAGCCTCATGAGCCCATGAGGCCCCAGCAGGCCCAGGCCCAATGAAAGCTCCAAAAGCGCCCTGGGGGAACGGCAAAAAAAGGCGACCGGAAACAAACGGTAAAAACACGGCTCCAGGATTGGAACTGGAGCCTGAACTGGGAAAAAAGCGGCGACGGAATCGGCAACAAAACGGCGTCAAAACTGGCAAAAAACAGCGAAACGGAAACGGTAGAAAAACGGCCCTGTCGTTTCCAGGGCCCACTGAGCCCCAGGGCCCCCAGGAGGCTCCAGGAAGGCCGAGGACCCTCAGGAAGGCCCGAGGAGGCCGCACAGCGGACCCTCCCCGCGTGTCGACACCAGAGAGGGGGCATGGCGGTGACCCAAAGCACAACACCCCCCCCCCCTTCCCCTCAGACCTCCTCGCGCTGTGACCTAAATCGCGACGGAAGGTTCTTCGCAATTTTCGGCCTCCCGGGGCCCTCATTGGGCCTCGGGACCGTCCACAAAACGACTCCGGTTGAAACACTTGTCCCCAGCAAGGGGTCCAGACCTCTGGGTCGTGGCTCAAGAGACGGGGGTCTGTGCAAACGGGGGTCAGCCAGAGAGCTGGATCATGCAGGATCCTGCAGGGCCAGGCTCGCACTGACCCGGGCTTGGGCGCAGGCGCTCCTGCAGGATTTTGCAGGATCTTTCTCGTTGACCCAGGCTTGGGCGCAGGCTCTTGCAGGATCTTGCAGGATTCCGCAAGGCCTGACTGACCCGGGTTTGGATGGACCAGGGTCAGGACGAGTAGAGAGGAGGAGAGAGGAAGAGGGACGAGGATAGAGGAGAGAGGAGGAGGAGGAGGAGGAGGAGGAGGAGGAGGAGGAGGAGGAGGAGGAGGAGGAGGAAGATCCCCGATGGGGGTCGACGCCGTGAAAGAACCACGACGTCGGATCTCCGGGCCCCCCCCGGGCCACTCGACGGCCTCGCTGCGATCGCCGCTCCTCCCTCAGTCGCTCTCCTTCGGCGGGCCTGGGGTCCTCCCTTGCCCGCGGGCGCCCGGTCGGGGTCGGGCATGCCCCCCCTATACAGGAGGAAGCCATCCGATGCGGCCCGATGCTTGCCTGGCATCCTGGCGCGGCCGATCCGAGGCGATGTCGACCGAGTGCGGGTTGTGGCCCGATGCGGCGCACATTCCGCCTCGAAGCGACCTCCCAGTTTGATGCCGACGTTCTGCCCGGGGCAGCGTGAGATGCCGCAGAGAACAGGGATTCCCACCGTGAATACACGGGCGCAGGCACAGCTGTGGGTCGACGTGAATCAGTTGGCGATGCCGTGGTCGGCGGTCCGGGGGGAGCGCGCCGGTTGCGGCCAGAGCTGGGTCCCCAGAGGGGCCGCAAGCGCCTGTGCTCCCCGCCCTCACCCCTGCGCGCCGCCCCGACGTCGAGAGGCCATGCCCGCGCTCGGACCGCGCGCCGTCTGCACCACCAGACCAAGATCCACGGCCCGATCGCCGGCCAGAGATTTTTTCGTGCATCGACTCTTGGCCAGGCCAGGGGGGACCCAGCACGCCCAGGCCTGGCCACTCGAGACGCCAGGAAAACCAGACGCGTCCGGGCTCCCGGAGCTGGGCCCGAGCAGACGGGGGACGAAGCATCGCGCTGCACCTTCGCCAAGAAGCCCGCGCGGGCCTCCGCGAGCTGTCGTGCGGCCTTGTCTTCTTGGAGCCCGCCGGGGTACTTTTAAGTCGGGCGTGCCCCCCTACAGGGGGATTTTCGACGAAAACTAAGAAATACCCAGCACATACCCCAAAAGGGCTAAAAAATGCCCCCCAAAAAATAAGACCCAAACTATTTTTGGGATTGTTGTTTTTTTGTTGTGGGGTGTGTGTAAAGAATAAAAGGGTGTATTTTATATATATATATATATAATATATATATATATATATATATATATATATATATATATATATAAGGAAAAACAAAAAAAACAAAAAAAACGTCGAACACCCCCCCTGTAGGGGGACACGCCCGACACAAGGGTACTTCCCGGGGGACCTCCGGAGCCCTCTGCAGGGCACCCGCCTCGGGGATCCACGCCCCGACGAGCCCATATGGAGCGCCTCGGGCGGCCACGACGGAGGGCAGCCCGCAGCGCAGGGCAAGCTCTGGAGTGCACCGGCGGCGTCGCCGCCGTTGCCCTCGTCGAGGATCGGTCGGGGGCGGAAAAGAGGGGGGTGATGACTAGGGGGGGGTGGATATCATGGCGCGGGCCATGATATTTCCCCAGATTTCATGGCGCCTCTTCTTGTTTCATTACGTCCCTGGCCCCCCCGCTGGGCCGCGCACATGCCGCTGGTCATGATTTGCACCCCCCCCCCTCTTGGACACCCCCCTCTTGGCCGCTCCCGATCGGGGGTCCATGCATCGACCTCGTCGAGGATCGGGGGTCCATGGATCGAGGCTGCAGCCGTGTACGTTTTCGGCTCGCTTCGGAGCCCCCCCCTGGGAGGCCTCTGCCGGAGGCCTCCGGAGCCTTCCCCGATCGGGCTCTGGACCGGAGCGCGTCTCCTCTGCAGGGCACCTTGCTCACCGTTCCACTGCGACCGCTACCTTGGGCTCAACGCAAGTGTGAGCTGCTCCTCGAAGGAGAACGAATGGCATAAACAGGAACTTTCGGAGGTCACGTTGATGTTCTCTACTGGCGCATGCACATCTTATCATGATGCCTCTAAGGACCCGACTGCGGAGGGGCAGTCTGCTGTTGTTTGCGCCCTCTCGCCAGTGTTAGTTGTCAGTGGCTGAATTCTGTGTTATCCTCATTGCATTCACAGGTCCAGAACGATCCCCACGCCCTGGCAGAGTAACTCCAGCAGCGGCCGTGCTCACCATCCCTCTCTCGGAGATGGGGGGGAGGCCGGCGAGTGGCTGGCAGCGCGCGACATGCTGTTCACGTGCCACTACTCGCCTTCCCCCGACTCTGGGTACATTGCGACGCGCCCAGCTCGCCTCTGCCAGTGCGCGGCAGGATGGTGACGACGATGACGATGCTGATGGTGATGTTGATGATACGTAGGGGGCGACGGCGACGTCGACGCCACCGACGCCGACGCTAACCCCGACCCTGACCCCGACCATGCCGCCAATGGTGATCGGAGATTGGGGGTGAGATCGAAGTGGAACGCAGAGCCCCCCACCGGGAAATCGGTTTCGGTTTCGGGTTCGTGTCGTGCGTGCGGACTAGGCGAAGCTGCGTCGGCGAGCGAGAGAAATGACTCCGCTGCGCTGTGGCTAGGGCGGGTCAGAGTCGTTGATCCGTCTTGCCCCCCCCTCTCCGTTGGTCCAGCGGTGGCTCGGGTGTCTCGCCGTGTCCAGTGTCCCGTCGGTGTCCCGTCGCGGTGGGCGGGCGGTGCCCGGTTTGTCCCGCCGTGGTGTCCCGTCGGTGTTTCGTTGGTGTCCCGTCGGTGTCCTGTCGGCGTCCCGTCGGTGTCCCGCCGGTGTTCCAGACGTCCCAATCACCACAGACACCGCAGACACCCCAGGCATCACAGACACCACAGACACCCCTATACACCACTGACACCGCAGACACCTAGGGACATCGATAGGACAACACGGCGGGACAACACGGCGGGACAACACGGCGGGACACCGAGCGGGACACCGACGGAACACCGAGCGGGACACCACAGGGCCCAAGGGACCCCCACAGACCATGAGGGACGACGGGACACCCGCGGGACACCGACAGGACAACACGGCGGGACACCGACGGGCGGGACAACACGGCGGGACAACACGGCGGGACAACACGGCGGGACACCGAGCGGGACACCGACGGAACACCGAGCGGGACACCACAGGGCCCAAGGGACACCCACAGACCATGAGGGACGACGGGACACCCGCGCGGACACCGACAGGACAACACGGCGGGACACCGACTGGCGGGACAACACGGCGGGACAACACGGCGGGACACCGAGCGGGACACCGACGGAACACCGAGCGGGACACCACAGGGCCCAAGGGACCCCCACAGACCATCAGCGATCTTGGAAACCACCTCGATCTCATCAGCGATTTTGGAAACCACCTTCGTACGATCGGGACACCACTGAGGCGCTATCGGTACAACACAAGGGCACCATACACAAATCACAGGGACACCATCAGGACACCATCGGAACACCACCACGGGCACCTATCGGGACCCCATCAGGACACCATCGAGACACCATCGAAACACCACTAGAACACCATCAGGACACCATTCGGGACACCAATCGGGACACCAATCGGGGCACCAATCGGGACACCAATCCAGACACCAATCGGGACATCAATCAGGACACCAATCGGAACACCGACGAGACACCGATGGGGCACCGATGGGGCACCGAACGCACACCGACGGGGCACCGACGGGACACCAACGGGACACGCGGACCGACGGGACACCGACGTGGGCGTCCCGTGGTGTCCCGTCGGTGTTCCGTGGGCGTCCCGCTGGTGTCCCGTCGGTGTCCCGTCGGTGTCCCGTCGGTGTCCCGCCGGTGCCCAGTGGTGAGATCGATGGTGAGATCGATAGTGAGATCGAAAGTGAGATCGATTGGTGTCCCGATGGTGTCCCGTGGTGTCCGCGGTGTCCCGTCGGTGTCCCGTCGGTGTCCCGCGGGTGTCCCGTCGGTGTCCCGTCGGTGTCCTGTGGTGTCTGCTTGTGAGATGGATGGAGACATCGGTAGTGAGGCCGATAGTGAGATCGATAGTTCGAGTGGTGTTCCGATGATGTCCCGATTGTTATCCCGATGGGTGTACTTATAGTGTCCCTAATGGTGCTTCGATGGTGTCTCGATGGTGTCCTGGTGGTGTCCATAGAGGGACTTCAGGGGGGGTCGAAAAGAACCCGATGCGTCGACAGTGTGATTGGCCGTGAGGTCGATAGTGACATCGATCAATGGTGAGGTCGATCGAGTGGGGTCGTTAGTTGAGGGCACATCGCGACGCAGCATCGTCACCACGCGTCGTCGCCAACTCAAGGGCGCACCACCAGCATCGTCATCATCGCAGCCATCGTTGTTGTCGTCAATTGGTTTCTCCCCCCCAAAACCTCCTTGTCACTAGAAAGGTGGTCGTGTAGGTCACCAGATGATGATGGTTCTGTTCATGATGCTGCGGCCTATGATTACTGTTGTACCTGACTGCCGTAATGAGGATGATGGTGATGGCGGTGGTAATCACGATGATCGGAGGTTGGGGTTTGAGATCGAAGTGGAGCGAAGAGCCCCCCTCCGGGAATTGGTTTTGGTTTCGGATTCGTGTCGTGCGTGCGAGCCAGGCGAAGCTGCGTGGGCGGGCGAAAGGAATGACCCAGCTGAGGCTAGGGAAGGTCAGAGGCTTTGATCTGTCCTCCCCCCCTCTGGTGGTCCAGCGATGGCCTGGGTGTCCCGCCGTGTCTGGTGTCCCGTCGCTGTCCCGTCGGTGTCCCGTCGCGGTGGGCGGGCGGTGCCCGGGTTGTCCCGCCGTGGTGTCCAGTCGGCGTCCCGTTGGTGTCCCGTGGTGAGATCGATAGCGAGATCGATAGCGAGATCGAAGGTGAGAACGATTGGTGTCCCGATAGTGTCCCGTCGGTGTCCCGTCGGTGTCCTGCGGGTGTCCCGTCGGTGTCCCGTCGGTGTCCCATCGGTGTCCTGCGGGTGTCCCGTCGGTGTCCCGTCGGTGAGACCTCGGTGTCCTGTGGTGTCCCCTGGTGAGATCGACGTAGACATGGGCAGTGAGACCGATCGCGAGATCGATAGTTCGAGTGGTGCTCCGATGGTGTCCCGAGTGGTATCCCGATGGTTGTGCTGATAGTGTCCCTGGTGGTGCTTCGACGGCGTCTCGATGCCAGGGCCTCTGGCCGCCGCCGAAGGCCAACGGCGACCGCCACGGACCTCCGACGGCCTCTGAGGGCCTCCGAGGGGGGCCCCGCGGCGCGCCGGAGGCGGAGGCGGGCCGGGCTGCCCGGGCGCCGCGCCGCGCGTGCTGCCGTGCGGTCAGGGGGCGCGAGCGAAGGCCGCGCTGGGCTGAGGCAGAGCCAGGGGGCGGTTCATGCCGCGGCTGAGGCAGAGTTTTTGGCACTTGTCCGGTTCATGCCAGGCGGCGAGCGAGGGGGAGAAAATGAGGTGGAGAAGGCCTCGTCAGAAGGCGGCGGGGGCTTCTGAGAAGCCCTCACGCGCCTTCGGAGAAGTTTTTTCTCTGCGTCTTCGGGGAGGGCTCAGAAAACTTCTCAGAAGGCGGGGGGGGGGGCATCCGAGCCTTCTGAGAAGGCCTTCTCCTTCTTCTCTCAGGCGATCGCAAACAGGGATCAAGTGGGCGTGGATTAGCAACGGGCCCCGTCTCCATGGGAAATCGCGGATTTCCGCCGCCGAGCGAGGCGGCACCAGCCACATTTTGGGGAGGGCTCTCCCCCCGATCCATGGATTTGGCGACCGCGCGCCGAATCCGTGGATCGCTAATCCATGTTTGCGCGCCCCCGATCAGGGGCCCTCGCCGGGCCCCGTGACCGTCAAAGAATCGGCTCGGGAAGGACAGCCAGCCCTGGGGAAAGGGGTCGGGACTTCTGGGGGGGGGGCGTGCTCAAGAAAAAAAATCAAGACAGTGGGCGTGTGGGTCAGGAGCATTTGCTTAGCGTGTCGCGCCGCCGGTTCTGGCCCTCCGCGTTTCGATTCGACACGCTAACCACTTCTCAGTTGCCAGACCCCCGATGTCGTGATTTGTTCACAAAGTCGACCCCCAGAAGGTCTGGACCCCTTCCCCAGGACCAATTTTTCATCCTGAGGTTCCCGGAGCTGGAAATAGCGAAATAGCGGAAAACCTCCCGTCGTGATTTTTTCACAGCGCGAGGGCGTCTGGGTTTCCAGGCGTCAGGTTCACGATTTTTCCCCATCCTTCCGCCCCGCGGGGTGGAGCGACGCGTGTCGCTGGGGCCGCCGCCGCGACACGCTGAGCGTAGGAGGGGGAAAAACACAGACACAATTCATCCTCGATCCCCAAGAATATGTAAGAAAATGTGGGAAGTGGGGGGAAGACGGAACTCCAGAAACTATAAAGGAATATGGAGAATTTTGGGCTTCAGGTCTGCGATTTTTGATAGAAAGAGTTTCCTTTGGAGTCTTGTGCGGGGCCTTGTGCGGGGGACCCTGTGCGCTCTTGTGCGGTGAGCTTGTGCTCGCTGCTGTCGTCAAATTGGCATGCACCAGTTTACGAGCGATGGTATAGCAGCAGCAGGGCATGCAGAGTAGCAGCAGGGCCCCCTTGTACGCGACAGTTCCCGACCGTGGGTTGGGGGACCCATTCGTGGCCAGGGCTCGCCGTGGCCAGGGACGTCCTTTGGCTCCTCCTTCGGTTTATGTTCAAGTCGGGCATGTCCCTCGACGGGAGGAATCTTCAAACATAAACAGGCTGGGGAGCATGTTTCTATCATGTTTGATTATGTATGAGTCTTTGTTTGGCCATGCTTCATTTTCCTTCCAAAATCCGCCTGTAGGAGGACATGCCCGACCTAAGTTTATATCCTCCTTCTCCTCCTCCTCCTCCTCCTCCTCCTCCTCCTCCTCCCCCTCCTCCTCCTCCTCCTCCTCCTCCCCATCGTGATGTTTTTTTTTGAGTTGTGTATATTGCCTGTTGCTTTATCATCTGCTCCGCCAGTTGTTTCAACCTTCGACTCGTTGTCTTCTCGATGCTTCGCGAATCCGTACCAGTTCAAGTTGTGGATCTTGCCTGATGTTTTATCATGTGCTCCGCCAGTTGCTTCGACCTTCAATTCGTCTTCTTATCGATGCCTCGTGTGTCCCAACCAGCCCATCCGTAGACGATGTCCAGGCGAGTTGCCTTGATAAGGACAGTGTGGAAGCATACTGTGGAACAGGTTTGGGATCAGCCTGGTTGACCCAGGACGGGGACGAGAACGAGGAGGAGGACGAAGAGGAGGAGGAGGAGGAGGAGGAGGAGGAGGAGGACGAGGAGGAAGACGAGGACGAGAATGAGGACAAGGGGGAGGACAAGGTGGAAGAGGAGGGCGAGGAGGGAGTGGACGAACACGATGATGGGGTCTGATCAAGGCGCTCTTAGCCTCCTCGTAAGGATTTGTTTACGGCCCTCTGGAGGAAATGTTGGAGGGCATTGCGGTCCTCTTGGGGCTCTTTTGGTGGGTCTTGGGGCTCTCTTGGAGCCCTCTTGGAGGCCCCGTTGGAGCCCTGGATGCCTCTTGGGGCAATTTTTGAAGGCGTCGATCCACAGAAAGGGGGTCCTGAAATCAGCCCCCCCCCCCCCCCTCAAGAGCCGTCAGCACCGCCTCTGGGGGCCTTCTTGGGGCCTTATTGGGACCCTCTTGGGGCAGTCTTGCGGCCGTGCTGGGGGCCTCTTGGGCCTCTCGTGGGGCTCTCTTGGGCCACTTTGGGAGCATCCTGAGGCCTCCACGCTGTATCGGACGCCAAACGGCGAGAAGACACGCCGCACTGCTTGTTTGTAGGTGTTTGAGCAATAGTGGCTTTTCGGAGAAGTCCTGAGACGCCACTAGGAGCATTTGGAGCCGTCTTGTGGTGCCCCTGTGGCCTCTTGGAGGCATGCCCGAAGCCATCTTGAACCATCTTCGGCTGCCTTGAGCCATCTTGGGGGGCACCTTGGAGCACCAGGGGCCCTCCTGGAGCATCTTGGGCCATCTCAGGCCGCCCCGACGGCTCGCGCCCCCCCCCCCACTCCAAAGAATGCACGGAGGGTGGGGGGAGGGCACCCCTCCCCGAAGGAACGCAGGGGTTTGAATCTCGTCTGGCCACCTATACGCCCAGAGGGCCGGCGGGATTCCTCCACCCCGCCCGTGCTCCCCGCCCCGTCCCCTTTCCTATCCTCTGGTCGGGCTCCGAAGGCTCCCGCTCGCTGAGTCTTGTGGAGGCCCGATGGGGGCGACTGGTGCCGCCGAAGCGGGCGCGACACGATCAGGTCTCCTCGACCGCCTGCTCCTCTTCGCGCCCCCGTCGAGATTTTGCCTCGAGCGCTTCGGGGGTCCAAGAGTTGACGGTCGGCGGCGAGCGAGGGGGGAAATGAGATGGAGAAGGCCTCGTCAGAAGGCGGCGGGGGCTTCTCAGAAGCCCTCACGCCTTCGGAGAAGTTGTTTCTGCGTCTTCGGGGAGGGCTCCGAAAACTTCTCAGAAGGCGTGGGGACGTCCGAGCCTTCTGAGAAGGCCTTCTCCTCCTTCTTCTCTCAGGCGATCGCAAACAGGGATCAGGGGGGCGTGGATTAGCAACGGGCCCCGTCTCCATGGGAAATCGCGGATTTCCGCCGCCGAGCGAGGCGGCGCCTGCCGCATCTTGGGGAGGGCACCTGCCCCGATTCATGGATTCGGCGACTGCGCGCCAAATCCGTAGATCGCTAATCCATGTTTGCGCGCCCCCGATCCTCACTCCCCCCCCCTCGCTCGCCGCCCAGATGGGAGAGCACGCCAGCGGGGCATGCCTCCGTGGTTCACGGACGTTGTGGCCGCCAGAGGGCCGCACACGGCCAGGTTCCACGAGGTGGAGTGGAGCGACCTCCCGGCCTTCCTTCTCCCGCTGTACGGCAAGAGCCTTCCACGCTCGTTAGGGGAACAAGCAGTGGCATAAACACATCAACTCGAAGGTGATCGTTCTCTTGTTCATTGTTTTGCCAATGGGCATGGGCCCTCGCCCCCCCCCTCCCCCTCCCCCATGGAGTAGATCTTGGCTGTTTTGGTCGCCTGCTAAGAGCATGTGGGGTCTCCCCCATAGGACGCACTGCTGCAAACAGTCGCATTGAGAAGAGGTCCGGAGCCAGACACCCCCCCTCCCCACCTTCCGCCCATGTCGAAACGCCGAATAAGAAAACGCTCACAAGGTCCCCGCGGAATTCTCGGATCGGCGCCGGGGACCCCTGGCGACGCCTCCGGCGCCGCCCCTGGCGCGCTCCGTGCGCCAGAGAGGCGGGTCCAGCGCCGATCTGAGAAATCCGCGCTGATCTTCGAGTTGTTGTGTTTGTGTCACCGTTTGTTCCCCTACTCATATGCGAAAGCAGGGCAGCTTGCTTGGGTAGCAGCAGCTGCCTCATGGGCGTGGCTGCTGCGTCGCCCTGACCAGAGAGTTGAAGCCCATTCTAGGGACTTGGCGCGACCGGAAACGCTGCCGCGGGGCCTCTCGTCCGTGCTCGCGCGTTGGCTGGAGAGGTCCGGAGCGTACACAAGTTTGGATGCTTCTGTTTCCTTGTACTTGCTGCTTTCGACGTCGTGCTCTTGCCTATCAGGCCTTTACTGCCCTTCTTCAGTTAAGTTCAGCAATTCCGACAGTCTCTTCGGGGCCATTGCGAGGCAGCGGCCGCAGGTGTACAATGACACCGCCCTGCGATTGGTCTGCGCAGGGGCCATGCTCGGAGCCTCGGTGCTCTTGGCAGGAGCCGCGCGTGCTGGCGACAAGGCAGCAAACTGCTGCCGCGGCTTAGCATTGTTGGGTGTTTGGCTGGGTTTCTCCATACATGCGTTTGTCAGATGGTGGGCAGTGAACGTTCTTGGCGATGAGCACAAGTCCGTTTTGGCGCTGGACTGGTGCTTAATCGGCATCGTTGTCGCATTGACCATGCGGCATGCAGGTGTATCGGAGTGGATGTGCTCGTGCTGGTTGCGGAAGTTCGTCACGCTGTCGATCGCATTTATGTATTTTAACGCCGGCGTAGCAAAATTGAAAGCCACGGGTTGGGTGTGGTATTCTGGTGAGATTATCCGCCAGCTCACCCGGGACTTTAGACCGTGTTCAGTGTGGCCGTGGTTATCTGATTTTGTGATTGACTCCCCATGGATGGGCATCGCCCTTGGAATCGGCACCTTTGTTTGGGAGATTTTGCTACCCCTTCTAGTGGCTCTGGGCGTCCGCTGTGCATGAGAGGTTCTGATCTCAGTCGCTGTAGCAAACCATTTTGGGATTTACCTGCTCATGTTTCCTCCCTTTACAACCTTTGTGCATGCGCTCTTGGCTCTCATACTGGACCCGTTTGCGTATGTGTGGAAGAGCGATGACGTACCGTCGATTGATTCGCAGTGTGGGCATTTGGAAGAAGGCGTTCTGCCGGTCAAAGCACAACAGCGTGACGATCAGCATCATTCCATGCGTCTGCGGCGAACGCAGGTAGATACTGTCTCAAGTCAGCTGGGGAGTATCGAAGAACGCGCAGAAGGAAACACGTCCGCCGAATTTAAGGAAAAGTATAAGCTGCCATTGAAGTCCAAGGTGGGACTTTGGGCACTCACAGCTATCTTCTGCCTCTGCTGTGTCGGCTGGACTTACGTGGCAAAACGTGCCAGACACGACAAGGCTCGAGAGATGATCCGATTTATGCCATTCAGCGCTTTCTCGATGTATTCCAGCTATCCTTCAGCCCCGTTGGCCGTGCAAGGCTGGTGGGATCAGTCCATGGCACAGCAGGGCAGCACCACAGTCAACTGGCAGTGGCGGGCGTGGGCCAGGGGGCAAATGCCTGGTAACGAGGTGGCAAGCGCGATGCGGCCCCACAGCGTGGTGCTCACGATCGAAAACGAGCACAAGATAATGCCGGTATCAGTGTTCTGGAACCAGCATTTTCTCGTTGTCGTCAAGCCTCAGGGCACCTACACCTTGAAGACTTACGAGTCAGCCCATCTTGAGATACATGGTGGGCCAGGGAAGAGTGAGCATCTGTTGACAACGATCAAAGTCAGTGGTGAGGCGAGGCAGCGATTTGTAGTGCGGTCAAATCTGTGGCTCAAGCGACCGCAAGGCGTTGCCAGGCATCCCCGCCGCACTGACACAGAGGCGCAACTGGTGTAGCTCCATACTCCCTGTCGAGACACACGGATGGCTCCTCCTCTCCCCTTCTCTTTGCCAGCCTACTCCAGAACCTCTCAACCCTGGGGGTTACTTCGCCGGGCTGAGTATCGACAGTTCGTGGATGATCGTTTCGCTAGTGGTTCTGCTGTCATGGGGAGTTCGTCAGAGGGTAGGGGTAGCTCCTTCTCTCCTCCTCTCCTCCCCTCCTCCTGGTCCTTCTCCTCCTCCTGGTCCTGCTCCTCCGCCTCCTCCTCCTCCTCCTCCTCCTCCTCCGCCTCCTCCTCCTCCTCCCCCTGACGTCTGCAGGGCGCTCGAGGCCTGGGCGGTCTGCGGGCGGCGTCCACACGCCGAGGCATCTCCGAGAGCCGCCGCGGAGGCCCCGCGCCCCCGAGGTGCAGAGAGGGGCCCGTGCACGCCGGACAGAATTTGGCCGGAAAGAACTTGACTATTACCTTAGGTAGGACGGGGGAGAAGGGTGGACGGGGAGGTCCTCCTCCTTTTCCTCCTCCTCCTCCACCTTCTCCTCCTCCTCGTCCTCCTCCTTCTCCTCCTTTTCCTCCTCCTTTTCCTCCTCCTCCTCCTTTTCCTCCTCCTTCTCCTCCTACTCCTTCTCATCCTCCTCCTTTTCCTCCTCCTCCTCCTCCTCCTCCTCCTCCTCCTCCTCCTCCTCCTCCTCCTCCTCCTCCTCCTCCTCCTCCTCCTCCTCCTCCTCCTCCTCCTCCTCCCCCCTCTCCTGCCTATGGTAGTGGTGGTGGACAATCGGCCCATCAGACCAAAGGAGATCCGCACACCTGCGGCAGGTTCGTGTCGTGTCGACGCGGCTGCGACCCCAGCGCGGGCGTTCAATGCCGAACGCCGATCGTTTTAGGTTGAACTGTACACGCGGTGCTGGACACCAACACCAGCGTACAGTGCCGTTTATTTATACATGCTCCGCGTGCGGATCGTGTATTAAACATGCAGGGATTTAGTACTACAAACAAGGATAAGTTCATGCATGAATGTACTCATACATCAATAATGTATTAAAAATCTCAGATTTAAAATTCCGATGTATTAAAACTGCCCTGTAAGCACGACGCGAACTTGCCGTACAGAGCACGCTATGTCTGCAATGGGCTGGGCATGTTGCTTGCAGATGCCACGGTGAGGACAAGAACAGGGCAGGATTGCGCCTCGGCCTCCGGCTGAGGGCAGGCACGTCACATACGAAATGAGCCTGCCAGCAGGTGCCTCACTGAAGCTTCTCATCTCCAGTGGCCCTGGGGACCCACCGAAGACATGAGACACCTTAGGAATCGGCAGCGTCCCTCCTCCTCCTCCTCCTCCTCCTCCTCCTCCTCGTCCGCCTCCTCCCTCCTCCTCCTCCTCCTCCTCCTCCTCCTCCTCCTCCTCCTCCTCCTCCTCCTCCTCCTCCTCCGCCTCCGCCTCCGCCTCCGCCTCCTCCTCCTCCTCCTCCTCCTCCTCCTCCTCCGCCTCCTCCCTCCTCCTCTTCCTAATCCTCCTCCTCCTCCTCCTGCTCTTCCTACTCCTCCTCCTCCTCCTCCTCCTCCTCCCCGGCCTTCCTCATCCTCCTGTGGGACCTGGCCAGGGCCTTCGAGAAGGTCTCGCACGACATCCTGTGCAGCCTGGGTTGCAAGGACATGTTCCCCTCTGCATGTCCTGCGCGTGGTCATCGGGGCCCTCCGCTGGTGGCGCGCGCCACTCCTGGACGGCGTCGCGGGCGACAGTCTGCACCCGGAGAGCGGGATCGTCGCAGGATGCTCCTCCGCCGCCTGCGCCCTGCAGGCCTACCTGGTGTACGAGCCGAGGGCGCAGGCCACGACCCACCCCGAAGGTCGGCATCGCAGTGCACGCGGACAGCATCCGCCAGGAGGCAGCTGCGAACGATGGCGGCCCGTGCGTGGACCTCGTGGTGGAGAGGCCGCTCGTGGGCGCAAGAGAGTGCGCTGCACGACGAGCTCGAGATGATCCTCCTCCTCCTCCTCCTCCTCCTCCTCCTCCTCCTCCTCCTCCTCCTCCTCCTCCTCCTCCCCCTCCTCCCCCTCCTCCTCCTCCTCCTCCTCCTCCTCCTCCTCCTCCTCATCCTAGGGAACCATCCGAGGGAACAGCGACGCCATCACGGAGGAGGACATGCGCAGGCTGGCGGGCTTGGGCCTTCCCAGAAGGAAGCTTGCAGCATCGACCAGGAAGCTTGCCCAAAGGTCCAAGCGCGCAGGCAGACACCAGAAGAGCCAGACGTCGGTCCGCCATCTGGGAGCTGGTGTTCGTGCGGGAGGTCGACGGCGCGGTAGCACTATCAGGAACAGCCACCCAGGCCCAGTGAGAGGCAAGAGGTGTAAGGTGGCCAAGCAGCGGCTCGTCATGGCTTATCGCGCGGTCAAGGTTTACAAGAAGACGTGGCGCATCCTGCACTCGGCCATCCTGCCCATGAAGAAGTGGGGCGGCGAGGTCAGCAGCTTCACCCTGCAGGAGCTCGACGGCATGAGGCGCATCACCAAGCAGGTTGACGGGCACGGCCACATGTCAACGGACGTGTTCGGCGCCATCCACCCCAAAGTCGACCCCATCGGCAAGGCCGCGTTCATGCCCCTGGGCCGCTACCTGGAGGAGGTGTGGAGGGCCACGGGCAAGCGGTACCGACATGGGAAAGTGCTGTCCATCACCACCTTGCGTAGAGTGTTCGAGCAGGCCTTCCAGGACAACAGTGATGGCAG